TAAACAATATCTTGCTTCCATTGCGGTCATCACGAAGGCTTCTTTTTATATCATCCCACTCATTTACATTCCGCACATCGTCCATGACGCTGATGTATCTCTTTCACTTTAAAAAACTGTAGAGTATAGCGGCCAACATTTCATATTCCATATTCAGAAATTGTTCTCTTTTATAGGTGTCCATTGACATCAAAATTTCGATTAACATATTTCTCCTCAGGTAATTTCGAGAGACCATACACCAGATCCTCTTTTCAAAATGATAACTAATAGTCGGATTGTTATATAACCTATTTGTTAATGTTGTCTTGCCAAGTCCACACATACCACAAGTTATTTCCATTACTGGCATGCCTAGACTTGGCAAGACAACATTAGCAAATACGTTATATAACAATCTGACTATTAGTTATCATTTTGAAAAGAGGATATGGTGTGTTCTCTCTCGAAATTACCTGAGGAGAAATATGTTAATTGACATTTTGATGTCATGGGCACCTATAACAGAGAACAATTTCTGAATATGGAATATGAAATGTTGGCCGCTATGCTCTACAGTTTTTTAAAGTGGAAGAGATATATCATCGTCCATGATGTGCGGAATGCAAATGCGTGGGATGATATAAAAAGAAGCCTTCCCGATGACCGCAATGGAAGCAAGATATTGTTTACCGCCGAAACATGGATGTGGCCATGATGGCTTCATATAATAGCAACTATCCTCTCCGTTTCCTGGTGGAGGATGAAAGTTGGGATTTAGTAAGTGGAAGGTGTTCAACAAAGAACGCCGCCCTCCAGAGATGGTAGATGTCGGAAAGAAAATTGCAAGAAATTGTGGTGGATTACCAATTACAATTGTAATGATAGCTTCAGTGCTTAAGAATTTGGAGAAGAAAAGATCTTTATGGATGGAAGTTGCTGAAAATATAACCTGATACATCTCTAAAGATACAAATGAGTACATGAGTGTGCTAGAACAGATTTATAATGATTTATCAATGTACTTGAAACCATGTTTTCTTTACTTTGGAGTATTTGAGAAAGGAAGGGAAATCCTAGTACGGAAGTTGATAATGTTATGACATGCTGAAAGATTTATAAGGAAAGTAGAAGATAAAACCTCGGATGTGACATAGGATTACTTAATG